AGGCTAAGCACTGCACAGAAAGGGCCTGCGGCTTTTCTTGTGGCTCTTCTGGGAGATATGTCATCTTGCATGAAGGTTATATGTCATAATGCCCTTCCCCCAGAAAAAGACATAAGGACGGGTCTGGGCCTGCTCTGGACACAAAGTCTGGAGTCCTGCTCAAGACAAGGTCTGCATCCAGTTTTGGGGAGTTGACCTCTATCTCCACTCTGCATTTGGCTGGCCTATAGCCTCTGTGTTTCTATATAATTATATAGGGGGAGATGTGAGGAGCCACACTCACATTCGCCATTACAAGATGGCGCTGACATCCGCTGCCGGATCAAGTAAACAACGTTGGTATGCATGTGCCCAGTGTTTTTCCACTTGCCTAGCCTCGCCTATTCCATGGCGTCATATAGGGTGATGAGTCATCCACCTATCCCAGCTGTACACGCACTGCTCAGAGCTTATGAGCCTTTATTAGGGGACGGGATTCTTGGCTCGGGGTCTCCGCCCTGTAAGCTTATGCTCTCTCTCTCAAGATGCATTAAAGCTTTACTGCAGAAGGATCCAAGTGTCCTGTGTCATTCTTGCTGGCGAGATGATCGCGAGGGACAATTAATGTTAACAAACCTCCTTCAGGGCACTCTATCAGAAGCGGTTGCATTCCTGTGGTCTCTACAAGTGACTCTCTACAAGATGTGTGCTACATAGAGAGTGAGTACTTCCAGGTGAGAAACAGGCAATGTCACCTCACCATGGAATCCAAGCCACCATCCTTATGATTGTCCCCCCTCCCCCACTGGTGATCAATGAGGATACAGCTCATCCTGTGGCGTCACTACCAGTCCAAACCTAGACCAAACCAGATACATGGAGAAACAGCCTGCCAAGTCCTTCGTCAGAATTCTCTGAAGGAGGCAAGGACACAAACAGAGCTGGATTGGAAGATCTGTCTCAGCTGAGATGTAGGAACTTGACTTTTATTTTTGGTTGTGAGCCTAGCCTTTAATAGCTGAGCCATCTCTCTAGGCCAGGAACTTGGCTTTTAAATGCAGCTGTGACCTTGGGCCAGGAAAGCACATGTACGTTAGGATCTAGGCCACCATTTTCATTTTGTGACTATATCACAAAACACATTCTCTTTCTCCTCTCCCCTCCTCTTTTTTCTACTCCCTACTTCCCTTTCTCCTGCCCAGTTTTTTTTTTAAAGGATATTATATATCTTGTTTTTACATATCTTTTTTAAGGTTTTTGATTTTTTTCTTCATTTGAATTAGAAACAAGATTGTTTTACATGTCAATCCCAGTTCCCTTCTCCCTCCCCTCCTCCCCTACCCCCCCAACTAAAACCCTACCTATCACACATCCTTTCTGCTCCCCCTGGATGGTGAGGCCTTCTATAGGGTGTTGTCAGAGTCTATCATATCCTTTGGGATAGGGCCTAGGCCCACCCTCGTGTGTCTTGGCTCAGGGAGTATCCCTCTATGTGGAATGGGCTCCCAAAGTCCACACCTATGCTAGGGATAAGTACTGAACTTCTACAGGAGGTTCTGTAGATTTCCGAGATTTTCTCACTGAAACCCATGTTCCTGGGGTCTGGATCAGTCCCATGCTGGTATCCCAGCTATCAGTCTGGGGACCAAGAGTTCCCCGATGTTCAGGACAGCTGTTTCTGTGGGTTTCACCAGCCTGGTCTGGACCCCTTTGCTCTTCACTTGTCCTTCTCTGCATCTGGATTCCAGTTCAGTTCAGTTAAGTGTTTAGTTGTGGGTATCTGCTTCTATTTCCACCAGCTGCTGGATGAGGGCTATCTGGTGGCATAAAAGTCAGTCATCAATCTCTATCAGGGGAGGGCATTTAAGTTAGCCTCTCCTCTGTTGCTTAGATTGTTAGCTGGTGGCATCTTTGTAGATCTCCAAACATTTCCCTAGTTCCTGATTTCTCTGTAAACCTAAAATGTCTCCCTCTATTATGGTGTCTCCATTCTTGTTGTCTTCAATTCTTCCCCCGACTCAACCTTTCTGCTCCCTCATGTTCTCTGCACCCCTCCTCCCCTTCTCATTCTCCTAGCTCCCTCCTCCCTCTTCCCATGCTCCCAATTTGCTCTCTCCTGCCCAGTTTTTGTTCCTTCTCTTCCTCCCTTCTCTTTATCTCCCCTTCCTCCTCTTCTTTCTCCTTCTAATTTGGAGTTATATGTGGTTTTGTTTGGAAATTTTGTTGATTTTGCTCCTGTGACTAATGCTGCAAAAATAACTGGTTCTTATCTTATGTGCACGACTGTCTAGGTGATACGGATGTGTGGAATGTACTCATTTCATGTTGCCAAGTCCATCTCCACACGGTTCCTCTATTGCATTTCCAGCACCATGAACACCCTCACTGGCACTAGTTGAATGTCTCCACTCTGACCAGTGTGAAATGTGATTAATTTTACCTCTTACGTAGCATGAGGCTTACTTAGCAGCTTCTCATATTGCTGTTAGCCACTGAGTTTCTTCATCTGTGATCTATGTCTTTGCCTATTTTCCTATTTTGTGTGCTTTTAGTAAGAACGTTGTAATATGCAGGGCACAAATCATTTGTTGTGTGGGCTGCAAATGTCTTTTCTTGCTTTGTGGCTTGTATTTTCACATTTAAAAATATATGTATATGTGTGTGTTTGTGTGCATGTGGGTACAGGTGTCCACAGAAGCCAGAGGTGTCAGACCCCCTGGGAACTAGAGTTACAGTTGTAAGCCACCCACCATTGGTGCTGGGGACAAAACCTTTGTCCCTTATGAGAACAGTACATGCTTTTGGCTGTGAGCATTCTCTCCATGCTCATATTTTCACACTTTAAATGTCTACAGGCCCAGAGCAATTTCTGTGTGTGCTAGTGTATATATGTATGGGTGCATGTGAAGGCCAGAGGACAACCTCTCAGTATCTCCAGCACCATTCCTTAGGAGCTAGCCACATTGTTTTTTTGAGACAGGGTCTCTTACTGAGACTGGGGACTCACTAAGTAGGCTAGGCCAGCCAGCTAGCAGGTCCCAATATCTGTCTTTTTTCTCTTCACTGCTGGGATTACATGCACATGCCAACATAGCCAGCCTTTCTACACTTGCAAGACAAGCACTTTACTGAGTGAGCTATCTCCCTAGCCCTTTACCCACTTTTAATTTTACCCTATCAGGGCTTGTTTTGAGAGACTATCATGTATATCAGGATGGCCAAGGGTATTCTTGAATTTCTGCCTTTCTCATCTTCAAAACCAGAGTTAGGCTTACAGTTGTGAACTATGATGCCCATTCTATGCAGCACTGAGGGTGGAACCTAGGGCTTCATTCATGTTTGTTCAAGCACTCTACAATTGCAACTTCAAATAAACTCAATCATACCATCATTCTCTCTGCCTTTTTCCTTGTTTATTTTTTTTAAATTTACTTTTCTTGATGGATATGGTGGCTTGGCACACACCTTTAATTTAATTTAATTGGGAGGCAGAGGCTGGCAGATCTCTGTGACTTTGAGGCTAGCCTGGTCTACATAGTGAGTTCCAGAACAGCCATGGCTATGTAGAGAGACCCCATCTCAAAAAAACAAAACATTGAAAAAATTTCCTTCCATCTCCATCCATTCTTCCATTTTTCCTTCCTTCCATTATCCCTACCCCCTCCATTCTCCACCTCCCTTCCCTCTCCCCCTCCCCCTTTCTTCCTTGAAATAGGGTGTATCATTGATTGTATGTAATTCACTACGTAGATCAAGTTTTCAGCAATCCTTCTGTTTTAGCTTCCCAAGTGCTGTGATTACAGACATGAGCCATTATACTAAGTTTTTCATATCTTGGTTTTTGTTCAATATATATTTTACATTTATTTGTTTTACATGTGATGGGGTGCACAGGTATGGACAACTTGCAGGTGTGGTTATCTTCTTTTACCATGTAGGTCCAGGATATATCAGTTCATTAGTTTAAGTGGCAAATACCTTTATAAGCTAAGCCATTTCTTCAACACTACTCCTAATCTTGATTTAGAATAACCCTTCCCTATCCACTGACTTAATATACGTCTAATAGGCAGCTGTTTGTCAAAACATTGATATTTCCCTCCTATGTTCCAAAGGTCAGCAGCATGTTACCTTTGATCATCCTAACAATATCTGCTAATTGTCTAAATGTCACCACTGGCTTTTTTGAGCAACAAGACAATTTTATAATTGCTTTTTCAGCTCTGACAAGAGGAGGTGGTCCCTTCCCCTTGCAGTTTCTATTTGTTAACCATGGTAAACTTCAGTCTGAAAATACTAAATGGAAAATTCCAGGAGTTAGCAATTCCTATGTTTTAAATTATACACATTTCTTAAATGACAGAATCTCCTGGGACAAGAATCATGCCTTGTGTAACACTGTAGCACTGCTCCTACTGCCTGTCAATCACTTATCCATGTCAGTTAAAGGTTGGCTATTACTGTGATGTGTGTTCAGCTCATCCTTATCTTAATAGCCCAAGGTGAAAACTTTTATTCAACATATCCTTATAAAATTTCATTTTTGTCATTAGCTATTGGTGCTCACATCTTTTTTTTCCATTTTTTATTTTTTCATTTTACATTCCACCACCCCCAGTCCACTCCTCACTGGTAAGGGCTCCCATGAGGAGTCAACATAGCCTGGCACAATAGGTTGGGGCAGGGCCAGGCCCCTCTCCCATGCATTAAGACTGGGTGCTCATCTCTTACTGTGCCTAGCTTATAAAATAAACTTTATCACAGGTATTTATACAGAGGAAGAGCATAAGTCAAAGAAGGGTCATTACTGTGGCATTTTATTTACCCACTGGATGTCAGAAAATGAGGGGACTACTGTATAATTATATTCAAAGATAATGGCTATATATTCAAATTACAATAGAGTTAAATATTGACATAGAAAACCCAGCCAGATGATGATGATGTATATCTGTAATCTAACAACTTGGGTGGTGGAGGTGGAAGAATGGGAGTTCAAGGTCATCTTCAACTACAGAGTTTGGGGCCAGCTTGAACTGAAGGGACCAGCTTCCCTTTCGGCAGCCATAACAGCCGAACACGTGCTTGCCATAAACCTGCCTTGGTCACTTAGAGGTCAGATGCCTGTCTCGTGACAAGGAACCAATCAGAAGTTAGCTGGTGGCGCTATGCTTTATGACTCTGGGCGTGCTTTACGGACAAGCGCACCGCAATGACGCACAAAGCATAGCAACCACCCTGGGAGGGCCTATGGGCCATAACAACCAGTTGGCCAATCAACACAGGGCAAGCCCTCCAAGCCTGGAGGCACACCAATCGTGAGCCTGTGCGTACCCCTAGACACTCCCCTTACGCTGTCCTATAAGATCTGTTGGGACCCCCTAGGAGCTGTCTTTTGCTAGCCATCCGCCATGGCGGGTGGGTGAAAGACCCGAGCTAACATGGGGTTAGCTCGTTAAATTACAATAAAGCCTCGTGCAGTTTGCAGCAAGCTCTCGAATCTGCCTTGGATTGGGGTGACCACACGTGGCCTGGGACCCCGGATACTTGAGTTTTCGGGGGTCTAATGGAACTACATAAGACCCTGTCTCAAAAACAAAACAAAACAACAAAACAACAAAAACCCAACCAACCAACCAACCAACCAACCAACCAAAGAAAAAACCAAAAACAAAAATCCCGGCAACAACAAAAAACACAAACCAGCACCAACTTAGGCC